TTACAGAAATGACATTTCAACTAAGAAATTGCAAAACCTGAATGATGTAAGTATATTGGCAGATATTGAAAGAATAGAATATTTATGAAAAACAATTACATAATTGCGTTTATAGCGTAAAATAATAAAATATCGTTTCGTAACGCATTCATCGCGTTGTGGAAGAATTGAATTGCTTGATGCGTCCGGATTGCAGTATTAATGTCGGATGGACCCAAGAATGGACATCATTGAAACGACTTCGAAGAAATAAATACATCGATGTTCGTGAGGTGGTGCGAGGGCCATTCTCCTCGCCAAGATTACTAAAAACACAACCATTTGTCGCGTTCTCGTCTTGCCAACAACGAGAAAACTATTTCGATTTACCTCGAGGTATTCCCGACACTTGGAGAGAGTATTTAATTTCCAAAGGATTCTGTACTGCCAGTGAAGCGTATGTATTGCAAAAGAATTTAATACCCTCTTGTATCAGATATCTCGCCACTGACAGGCTATGGAATGACACAAGTTTATCTTTTATACAAGGAATCCCTGATCCATGGAAAAGTAGGTATTTTCATCGAAGACAGCCTACTAAATATTCTCGGCCACGATTTCCTCGCGCCAAAGACATTCCTTCCACGCGAATTGCATACACGTATGATGGAGATGATGAAGCAGAAATAGAACGTAGTGAGCGGTGTCAATTTAATAAAGATCGTATTGACGATAAAAAAGATCCTCCTCGAGAAGGACACAGAGAATCAAATTACCCGCTAATTGAAGAGACATTCAAAGATAATGTCGAAGCTAGGAAAACAGCAGAAAGATACAGTAATCGGTTGCCTTTCGACAAAGAGTCGGAAATATCAAGTCGAAATAAGCGTAGAGGAAACGCGAAGCATAACCAGTACACCGAAATTGATTTAGAAAATGTTCGAAAAATTACTTCGAATAAAAGTATTAGGAAGGATTTAAAAAGTAAGACAATTACTAAAAAGGGAGTTCAAACTGTGCCTACAAATGTAGCAGATGAAGCCACACAAACTGGTATACTTCTGAAAGATAAAATTACTCAAGAAGATGGGCCATTTTCTAAAAAGCATGTACAGATAAATACTCAACCGTACACAGATGATACTGTCTGTTGCAATTGTATGCTACGTGGCCACATACTTTCAAATATGCATTGCTTTCCTAATTTTGCGAATCTATGGAAAGACGTAGATCTGTCGAACCGCGTGCTGTGCCAAGAATGCGAGAATATTTATTGCAGACGCGAGTCAGAGAAATTAATCATCCCGACGAAAAAGTTGGAATTTTGCACGCCAGGCCCGAAGAAATACTCGAAACGTAGTCAACGGGTATGCATGACGCAAAAAGAAATTTACAAACGGACGAAGCAAAAATTGCGCGTCTGCATGCAGAATGCAAGGAAACGGCTCGCGGTGCGAGATAGGCCAGACGATTGCATGCAAACAAAGGACGCGATTGTCTCTAAGCAAGAATTAAAACTGATGTGTTATCACTGTAATAGCCCTTATCTGAAAATCGCGAGCATCTCTGCAAATACTTCCGGTCGGGATGCACGTCCGTGTATTTGCAGAACAGCCTCGAGCAAACTGAAGACTGTGCAACATAAGATCGGGGATCACGTTACGAAACATTCGATCAGAAAAAGGCGGAAGAACTGCACGTGCTGCAGCGAAAGCAAAAGGTATATATCGAAATGTGGCCTTGACTGCACGTCGTCACCATCGGTGGTTATTAAATGGAAAAATAACGTGTTGGCAGGAAAGATTCATTCTGGATTCTCGAAGGGAAACAATCATGACGATACAATGCACGGGAACGTTGTAACAGCCGACATCAAAGGAATGGTAAAAGACGCTTCTGGTAATCAATTATTTGCAGACGGTATAAGAGAAGAAAGATGTGAGAAAGAACCCGAAGAAGGGGATTACTCGTGCAACGTTGTAAATAAAAATAAAGAAATGGACAAACAAGCTAATACCGCGATTAACGCGAATGAAGAAAAAATCGAAGCTGCACAATTTCAACACTCGAAGTCCGATAAAACCTTGTGGTACTCCGTATCAGATAGTGGAGAATGCGCGGACTTATCCGATAACATTGCAGATGCCGGTTTTAATGTCACGGCCCAAGATAGATTCTCAGTGACTTCAATAACTTCCACGCAGCAGTTGGATAATGCTATTTCAACAAAAAGACACTATCAGAAAAAAAGATCGAGGAGACCCTGTCACGCACGGTGTAAATCATCAGGAGGAATTGCGTCAGATTTCAAGCAGAATTTAGAATTTGGAAGTAATTTTCCAATTGTTACTTCGTGTAACAATGTTCCGTGTTCTTCAACAAAAAGGACAAGGTCTGTGAAGAATTAATTGGCGTAAGAAAAAGAAAAGGGAAATATTTAAAAAAAATACGAAATATAGTAAGTACATAATACAGAAAATATATACATAAACAGTTATTGAAAATATTCATAGAGATCTCTTATGAATATACCATGTTCTTTATACCCAAACATATTGAAATTCCATTTACATTTTCAGATTGATTTCAAAGACCAGTATTATCAAGACAATTGTACAATCGATAGTGCAATCACGTCAGCGTTAATGAAATATCAAGATGTTTTATATCACACACTTAATATATATACATAAAAGTTTTCTATGATAAGTGTTTAGATACTTTCGTGTACCATTGTATTTAATAACAATGGAAGTATAAAGTGTGTAACGTGATTAAAGTAAGAACTGATAACCGAGAAAGATGATTACACAATCCGTCAACTATGAAGGAAATTACACCGATGTTCGCGTACTTAACTAATGAACAATAAAGAGATAGAACAAAACTTTTTCCTAACATTGACACTGGAGTATTCCTGAATTCTAATTTATTTATAAAATAAATAGACCGAAATAAATAAAGACCGAATAATATTTATATGTTAGTTATATAATTTTTTATGTTA